AACTGTGTAAATTTTCTTGATAACTATGTAAATTCGGCACTTTGGAGTATTTATTTAGATGCGAGAGAATTCTGTAGTTCACCAGAAAAATTCAAGAACTTCACGAACAAAGACTTCTAAATCGTTACTTTGAGCCAACTAAAATGATTCAATTACGCAAATTATTATCCATTATTATCGTTGTAGTATCGATTCTTCTCCTCTCTTCACAAGTCGGTGAGTTAATTTTTATTCTATATATGTAATTATTGCTATTATTGCAACAAAAGCGCGAATTACTCGGGATTATTCGCATAAAGTGGCGTTAAATAACATATTTTCCCTATCAATATAATTATTGAGGGAAATGCATAATGAAAATGAAAATGTATTCTATTTAGATGTGGCAAGAATTGCGCGCAGTTGCCAGCGGATTTGCGAGGATGGAAGTCGACCGGGTCCAGGATGCTCATGCAGCGAGGATGGATAACAAAATAGCCTTTACTAAAAATAACCGCAAATCTAGTGCCAATATTGCAATGGAAGTACCAAAGACGACAACAAAGTTATGTAATATAAATTCAATTTATTGGAGAGTAAAATAAAGCTATTTGGCACAACGTGTGTAACTCAATGTCTTGAAGCCAGTGACCCACCTGCTGACTGGAAACGAATAACAGATCAGTTTTTTATGACGAACCTTTCGATGAAAAATAGAAAAGTTGGAGAAGTAGTTGTTTACAGAAGAAATTCTTATTTTCAAAAGAATTTTTATCGCATGTGTTACATTGTTGTTCTGCAATCATCAGACTACACATATCGATAAATATATTTTGGATTATTACAGAACTGCATCAAGTGCAGATATGAAGACACAGGAATTTCCACAGGAAATATTCGACGATGAGGTGGTAATCCGGAACAAGTCGATTTCGACTTTTTGACGATTTCGGTGGATATCTCGAAAGCTGAGGACAATAAGAAAATTTTGGTCTGAATCTTCCTTGTACAGCAAAGCGAGGGCTAGGGAAAACTGAATGGTCAAAATTTCCCTACCTCTCTTAGATCCAGAGATATTCATCAAAAACGATCGATAGTCGAAATTGATTCATGTCGGAT